GAGCGCGCCACACCCCCGGGGGGGGGGGGGGGGGAACTGCTTAGCTTTATACCCAAGCTAAGACAATATAGAAGAAAATGTCTGCAGCAGCATCATTGTTTAGCAGTCTGAATAATTAATAAATTGGGCTGTTTTCTTTTGGCAGGATGAGAAGCACAAAATTCAAGAGGAAAATGTTAAACTAAAAAAGCCCCTGGAAGAAAGCCACAGGTGTTTATTAATGAAGTATTAACTAAGATATAAAGCTATTTTGGGGTGGTGGGAAAAAGGGAGCTTTTGATATACACTGGCAATGACACAGAGCAGACACTGACTTGTAATATTAATATTTCAGAAAGACATTTTGAAGGGGGAGTGAATAAATAACAAGCCAGATATTAAACCAAACTCATTTAGTCCATTCCAGAAGAAAGAAAGAAAGGTGATCAAGCTGTCCTCTGATTCTTCCCTGGTTAATCCCCAAACTATCACTTAAAGGATTATGTCTAATCTAATCTTTACTGGATCAGTAGGACAAGTAAATGAAGCACAAACCATAGCATTTCCTAGGTTCTTAAATGTACTTGGGCATGACTTGTTTCCACCTAAGTACTAAGTGAAAGGCAGCTGTGTTTCAAATAAATACTCTAATTTCCCTTACTTTTTTTCTCTTAAGGAGAAAAACAGTTTTGCTTTATTCCTTTTTCTTAACTCTTCATCTCATTTCCCCGCAACGAAGAACATGGGATCATTCCAAGAGAGTTGACTTTTAACAATTATTTTAACAACAAAACATTACATACTGCCACTGTATTAAAAAATGAAGACGGTCCAACTATGTGACATTCTGGAAAAGGCAAAACCATGGAGATAGTGATTGCCAGGGCTTAGAGGATGTGGATGGATGAATCGCATTTTGTAGGGCAGTGAGAATACTCTGTATGACACTATAATGATAGATACATGTCATTATACATTTGTCTAAACCCACAGAATGTACAACACCAAGAGTGAACCCTAAGGTAAACTATGACTTACGATGTGTCAGTTTAGGTTCAATGACTAACATCAGGTACCACTCGGGTGTGGAACTTTGATAATGGCAGGAGGGTGGGAGGTCCAACAGAATATATGAGAAATCTGTGTCCTTTCTGCTCAGCTTTGCTGTGAACCTAACACTGCTCTAAAATTTAAAGTCTATTATTAATGACAACAACAAAAATAGATTATTATCAAGGAAAGATACCATAGAGGGATTTTGAGAGACCTATACAGTATACATTTTTGGCAGCTGTACCTGTCCAGCCTTTAATGCCTTAAGAATGAGATAGGGTGTCATCTGGAGCAAAACTAGCTGCTGGGGAAGATAAATCACACAGTCCAACAGTAGGCTGATTTTGCAGGTGCTTAGCCTAAACAGCTCTTCCTCACCTCCAAGGCCAGAAGGATTCCAGTACCTTTAAGTTTACCCCCAACGAGAACATGGTCTGATCTAGGACCAGCCTTATTAAACTACAGTCCATCTAACATAATAGATCAGCATGGGCCATGGGAAGGAATTAGACCACAACATTAACCAGGGCTCAAAAGGGCCTTTGAGAGTCAGCCTCGTTCCAGACTAAAATCAAGTCATTTACATTCAAGAGGGTCTTACATGCCAGGTTCTGATTTTAGGCCCTGGGAATATAAGACAATACAGTCGTCCCTCGGTATCCAGGGTGCCAGGAGCCCCTTCAGATAACAAAATCCATGGATGCTCAAGTCCCTTACATAAAATGGCCTAGTACAATGAATATAATGGGCTCTCTGTATCTGTGGGTTGCTCATCTGGGGATTTAACCAACCACAGATGCGGAACCTGATGATGGGGAGGGACAAGTGTACTACCTTATATTTGTATTGTGCTCTGCAGCTTAAAAAGTGTGTCACATTCATTATCTCCTTATAAATTTAATTCTCCTTACAAAAGTTTAATCATCCATTCCTACTTTACAGGTGAGAAAACTGAGGCCCACAGAGAGGCCCAAGTTGCCTCTCCTTATCATGTCTTCTGTTTGTAAGCTCTTTGTCTCTGCACTATGTAATAGCTGCTTCCAGGGCCTATCCTGGCCAGAACTGCAATCCTAAAACATACGAAGGTTTCCTGGGATTGTGGTCCAAGGAACAGCCGAAAACCTGGTAACACTGATGGTCACACTGCCCCTCAACCGAAGAGAATTGGAACCATTGTGGATCTGTGGTCCGTTTTTCCCAGAGCTGAGGCTTTGCTGAGGAGGCTTTGCTTCTCCTCTTGTATAAGTTCTGTTCCAAGTTGGGAAGATCGGGGTTAGCTCAGCTGGTATCATGAAGCAATATTTCAATCTGAATGGGTACGTAGGAGAAGGGACTAATACATGACATATGATAATGGGTAAGTTTCCATAATATTGGATAGGAAAAAAGCTATTAAAATGTATGGCCTTGGCCATTGACGTTTTGCAGGTTGGGAAACATAACCACTATTTTCTTGGTAGTAAAAAGGAAACAAAATGTAACTCCAATCTATTTTTAAACAGGAATCTACTAGCATAATGTAGGATCATATTCTAGTAATAGATTTAACAACCAAAATTTTCTCTCCTTGGAGGTCAACATTAATAATTACTTTGGTCTCAGCAATAAAAAAGAACCATGGTATTGCTTTTTCTGTGCTTTCGAAATGAGGAAAAAGGAAATATGTTGCTATTAGTTACTGTTTTCACTTTCCCATTGTAGGCTGCAGTCTCACCCTGTGAATGAACAGGTAACTAACTGAGTCTCCTGTCCTAAAACACCTTGTATAAATTAAATAGTTGGCTGGACCATGCCTAGCTGTAAACAAGGCAGCAAGGGGGGTAGATGAATGCATAGAGGCCTCTGCTTCCCATCCTTTAAATAATATCCTAAACAAACATGCATTTGGCTGAAACGCTCACAGGAAGTAGCAGTTTGGAGCGATTTACTAAGTAAACAGCAGCTCTTAACTTCCTGAGATTCTCTTTGACATACCATGGGACCTGAGAGCTCACTGTACCTCCCTTTCCCGTCGTCTTCCCTTATATAAAATGAAGAGAAAAAAATACTTCTTGATCACTTAGAAATAACCAAACATTTACAAATATAGTGGTAGATGACAACTCCATGAGAAAACTGATAAATGCTACTATGTCTGAGTCACTGCTGTCATCTATCTATTAGGATATAATGATGCCTACTCCCTCCATTCTTGGTGATAGAATAAGACAAGAGGGATGGGGCTTCCTTTTTTTAACTTTTTACATTTATATACATGAAATTTTCTTTATACAGATAAAATCACGTTACTTTATTATAAAAATTAAAAGAGCACCAAGGATAATGATAGGATTATCAGAGTTGTATTAAGGTGGTGAGACTATATGTCATTTGTTTTTCTAGTTTCCAGATAGCCTGTAATGTGATTATGTTAATTTTGTAACTAAAAAATGCATATTCTGAAAATACTGGTCTTTCCGGGGCTGAGGGAAACTAACCGGCTCACTGTGTGGTTTAGGATCAGCCGCTGCCCTCCGAAAAGCCACAGACGTGTCAGCTGTGCCAGGAAGACTGCAGCCTAACAAAGGTAACAGTGGCGAGAAATGAACAGGTTCTTCACAGGGACACCCACTGCACCACCAGCCGCTTCTCACGATAGGGACTTCGCTGTATGGAGTGCAGAGAGTGGGGAGAAGAGCAAAAGGAGCAAAGCATTTAGTGTGTATCTATTTTCTTTCAGTCCTATTAAGTCATGTTAGTAAGTCCCCGTTAAAATATCAAATACAAATTAACTATATAAGTAATTTAAAACAAACATAAATTTGTAAGTAAATATTTATTGAGTGCCTACTATGCGGAATGTACTATTCCATGTGCCGGAGAAAGAGTAATGAACAAGATGTAGACCGAGTCCCAAGTCCTTGTTCTTGTTAAGCTTGTGTCCCTTGTGTCATCATTATATAAAGAACCTTGGGCTCAGAGGTGTCAAGTGCGTTATCCCAGTTACTGAAAGCCCAGATGCAACCTGACTCTGGCTCCGAAGTCTATACGCCTTCCAGTACTCCATCCTGCTTAGAACAGAGAAGATAGGTTGGGGTGGGGTGGGGGGGATGGGTTCTTTGGTTCTTTGAATTATTTGGGGAAACAGCCTCTGAGAGGGAAATGAGCTCTTTCTCCACCAAATCACTTGTTCTCCCCTTGGATCCTCAAGGGTCTCTGCCTAAAGCCCTACCCAGCTTGTTATCCTAGAGTCAGCAGGGTGAAGGAAGCATGCAGGAAAAGTAAGTGTCTTTGACAGCCATAGCTGTGACTTGTTCACAGTAGGATCCCCCAGCACCTAATATGGTACCCAGTTCATAGTAGATGCTCAAGAAATGTTATGGACAGATGAATGTCAGAAACAAAGTGCTTAGAAGAGAAGGAAATGTGCCCAAATTCTGGGTTACAACCTGCGTGCCACCATTTGTGATCCTGCTAAATTTTAACAAGCAAAATTGTAGCATGACCTAGTCTTAAGTTAGCAGAAGCAGATAAAGATGAACTGCCTTTATGGAATTGGAAGTTGTAATTAGAGAAATGTGTTCCCAAACAGAAGAAGCTGCTAATCTAATTCTGGCTTTTCTTTTCTAAGCCATGCAAACTAACTGCAATATGTCAGAGGAAGATTCCTCCCAGGCTTTCAAGTAAAAATGACCCCCCTAGCTCTGCTGCACCCTCAGGAAGATGAACTCTTTGGGGAAAAGTAGCATTATTTATGGGGGAAATCATTCTTCACAGCCTTTAAATAGGGACCCTTGGAGCTATGTATGCACCAACCTATCACAGCTTTACCGGTGGCACTGCCATAATGACCCACATGCTGTCCCACAGTTTGGCCACTAAAGACTCAAAATGCTTAATAAAGAGACTAACTTCCCAATAAAAAGGATGCAGGAAGCTGTGCTCCTGCTGCACTGATAACCCCAAAGGATGTGCTTGTAGAGCATCACAGGAAAGCACTGAGCACATCAGTGTATTAGAAACTGTACTTTCAGTTCATGCTCAGCAAAGTTTTTCATCTTATGTCAGTTACCTAACCCTCCCCATGGCTGGGTCACTGCCTGCCTTATCTGAAGTATGCTTGGGTAATCGCAAACTAATTTTAGAATTAGCCCACCTAAAGGTGAATATAAATGAAAGTATATATTATAAAGATAAATAATTATTGTAGTATCTGTTCATTTGCATTCTGTGGAAATGCTTCTCTTCATTTAGATCTAAGAACTAGACTGTATGCTTCTTTGTAGACAGATTGTTTAGTTAGATACTGTGTGGCACACAGCACACATTCAGCCAGTATCTTATTAGACATTGAGCATCTATCGTATTTGGCCTCTTATATCCCATGCATCCTTATGCCCTGCTCTTCTGTTACCCACTTGATCTCCCCCTCTCCTTGTAGAATGTGTGTAAGAACTGCAGAGGAACCTTCTGTGATGCCTGCTCAACAAACGAACTGCCTCTTCCTTCAAGTATCAAGCCTGAGCGAGTTTGCAATCCCTGTCACGAGCATCTGATGAAACAATATTCCAGCAGCCCATTGTAAGACTGGAGGCTGAGATCTGGACCAAAATGTCTCTACCTGTGTTAGATGTCAGGATCCCCTAGAGCCCAGACTTTAGAATCAACTCAAGAATTGACAAGAATGATTTAAATAAACCAGGTCCAGGGAGAAAAGGCAGTGGTTGGCAGTGCTGGAATTTTGCTCATTTTCTCTAATGACTATGAATAAAAGTTACTCAGTTGAGCCTCTCTCTGCTAAATCTAAACAACCCCACTTCGGAGGATTTGGAAGGGCTGTTCATTTTTATGAACAGTGATACTACTACTGGGGTGGATGTTATAGGAGAGAGGGTCCTTGGCGGATAAGAATAAAAAGGAAAACGATCATCCCTCTGTTACATTTTCCGATTCAAGAGGAAAAGATAATTGTTAACTGAGATTGAAATGACAGATGTTACATATTTTCCCAGATGCTGCTAGACACAAACATTATTTCTTCTTTACCCCCACTAACTACCTCTTCTTTAAAGTATCTCTACCAAACTGTGAACCCAAACTCAGGGAAAATAAATTAAAGAGTAATATAAATTTTGAATGCACATACTTAAAACTATTATATTATAGTTTTAGGACCAGAATTTTCTAGTTCTGGCCTACATGTGTTTTCATTATCAGAATAAGGAGGAAGAACATTTGCTGTTTTTCCACTTAGTGACTTCAAAACTAAATATCTGCCCTTTTCAGAATCCCCTACTACACAACAAGCCAGCTCTTCCCCACTCCCTCTTTCCTCTCAGTCATGGAAATTATAAGGGGTTTTAAAGATAGGGTTTGACTTTTGCAAGTAGGAAGTATTGAAGCAAAGCTATGTCAGGTGTAAAGTAAAACAAATTTAATTTGTCTTGGCTGAGAATAATTAGCTTAGAATATTTATTAAATTCTTTTGTGAATAAGAGATCCCTTATTCCAGGCTCAGATTCAGAACTGGTAGGCAGGTTTCTTGGAAAGTAAGATACTTCAACATCTCTTAGTAACAAACCCTTTGGGGAAAAAGAGGGAAGTGCATTCAGCAGGGGAAGGAAAAGAAATGGTTTATGCTCTTTTGATTATGTTACATGTGTCTGGATTGTTTGATTCCAGTTAAGACCTAAGAAGATATGATTCTGTAAGTGGCTTAGAATTATGGGGTGGAAACATCCTGGAACTATGATATTTGATAAATTCTGTCTCCTGAAAAGGGTTACACCCCAGAAAAAGAGTTGTTATTCCAGAGGTCTGACCTGTTACTTGGTGAAGCTGAGTTTTAAGAGTACTAGGGAAAAATAAAATCTGATAATTCTAGCCTCATTTGTTGTCATTTTTTTCCCTTTAAATAATATTTATTTCTTGTGATTCTTCATTCTCCTTATTTTTTACCACATATATGTGCCAGCACTGTTCTAAGTGCTACAGATAATGTGGGTAATTATCCTGAATTAGCAAAAGTTATTTTATAATTAATTTTGAATTAAACTGAAAAGAGGCCACATGGAATGTAAGGAGGAATAAGTAATTAACCACTTGAGATTTGACTTTGAAATGCACATAAGCTATGTAGCATTTCGTTTTTGTTTTTTTTAATAAAACAAAGCCCCAAAGATCTGTTATTAGTGCAGCTGCCCACAAAAGCAAGGGGACCAAGTCATGAATACCTCGACTTAATGTTAGGCCTCTCTTCCTTAAAAATTGTGCTTTCCACCATTTAGCATCACCAAGAATAACATACTTAGGAATAAACTTAACCACAGAGGTAAAAGACTTGTACACCAAAAACTACAAAACATTGCCAATACTACCCAAAACCATCTACAGATTCAATGTAATCTCTATCAAAAATCCCAAAAATAGAAGCATTCCTGTAGAACCTCAAGGGATGCCTAAATAGCCAAAACAATCTTGAAAAAGAACAAAATTGAATGTCTCTCACACTTCCTGATTTCAAAACTTACTACAAAGCTACAGTGATCAAAACAATACGGTACTGGCATAAAGACAGACGTAGTGACCAATCGAATAGAGAGCATAGACATAAACCCCCACATATATGGTCAAATTATTTTTGACAAGGGTGCCAAGACTATTCAATGAGGAAAGGAAACTATTTTCAAAACTGATGTTGGAAAAACTGGATATCCACATGCCAAAAATATTAAAAGGGACCTTTACAACATATACAAAATTAACTCGAAATGGATCAAAGATCTGAACATAAGGGCTAGAACTATAAAACTCTGAAGAAAACATAGAGAAGAGAAAGATTCATGACATTGGATTTGGTAGCAATTTCTTGGATAAGACACCAAAAGCACAGGCAACATAAAAAATAGGTTGGGCTTCATCAAAATTAAAAACTTGTGGAGAAATTGGAACCCCTGTGCACTGTTGGTGGCAATGTAAAGTGTTACAGCCACTGCGGAAAACAGTATTGTGGTTGGTTCATAAAGAAATTAAAAGTTCCATTAATACAGCAATTCCACTTCTGGGTGTATACCCAGAAATGAAAACAGGGACTCGAACCAATTATTCATACACCCACATTCACAGCAGTATTATTCACAATAGCCAAAAAGTGAAGCAACCCAAGTGTCCATTGACTGATGAATGGATAAACATAATATGACAGATACATATGAGAGTATTATTCAGCCTTAAAAAGGAAGGCAATTCTGACACATACTACGACATGGATGAGCCTTGAGTACATAAGTGAGATAAGCCAGTCACAAAAGGCCAAATAGGTTTCCACTTGTTTGAAGTGCCTAGAGCATTCAAATTCATAGATAGTAGAATGGCAGAGATGAAGTGAAATGGTGGTTACCAAGGACTTGGGGAAGGGGGAAAGGGATACGGAGTTTCAGTTGGGGGAAGATGAAAAAGTTCTGGTGATGGATGGTAGTGGTGTTGTTTGCACAATATGAATGTACTTAATGCCACAAAAATGTACACTTAAAAATGATTAAAATGGTAAAGTTTGTTATATATATTTTACCACGATTTTTTAAATACCATGCTTTCCATTCGGATACAGAAAATAATTAGATATGTATGTGTATATGGGTTGGTACACAGACATAAAGCCCCGTCTGCTGAGAGGGTCTGGAAGTCGACACCCCAGTAGCACTGGGCACACCCAATGCCCAATCTTTCATTAGAAACCAAACCTTGGTTTCTAATATTCTCCAATAAAAGGAACCAGGACCCCTTGGAGAAATGGCTGATTCTCAAAGGGATACAGGAACAAGCTAAAAGCTCCCAATGAGTAAAGCTGAAAAAATGTGAGCAGAATAACATAGAATAGGATTATTACCCAGAGTATAAAATACCTACGAGTCCATATTAATATAAAGGATTAAATAAATGGTGAAGAAATGTCATCTCTCCTATACAGAAAAATTCCAAGTAATTTACGTAGCTACTATTCTTTCAGGTAAGTGGAGCTTACCTCCCCACCTCTTGAATCTGGGCTGTGCTTAGTAACTTCGAGAAAGGAGACTATAGAAAGAGAAAAAAGGAACTTTATAGTAACCTAGGAGACACTATTTTGGTCAGGTGATCAAAATTCACATGGTCAGTGACAAGTCATGTTGATAACATGAATCTTTGATAAGATGAATGCAGTGAGAATGACACCTTTCTCTGCAAAACCAATAACCCCAGTCTAAACATGAGAAAAACCTCCAATTGAGGGACATATAACAAAATATCTGACCAGTACTCCTTAAAATTGTCAGGTCATCAAAAACAAGAAAGACTGAGGTTAAGGAGACACGAAGACTAACGTAATGTGGGATCCTGGAATGAAAGATATTAGGGAAAAGCTAATAAAATCTGAATGAAGTCTGGAATTTGGTTAATGGTTATGTACTAAAGTTAGTTGTGACAAATATATTGTAGCAATGTAAGATGTAAACAGTAGGGAAATTGGGTGAGGTAGTAGTAGGAATTCTACTTTTGCAACGTTTTTGTATATCTCAAGCTATTTTGAAGTAAAGTTTATTTAAATTTAAAAAATTGTGCTTTCATACTCAAAACAACTACAGGTCTGACCTAATAGAACTCGACTAAACTCCCTAAATGCAGTTTATTTCCAAATAGAATCTGAGAATTTTCCTCAGCGTGAGGATTTTAAATCAGATTTATAGCTCAGCACAACGTCCTTGGTTCATTCATTATTTACAGTCCAGTTATAAAAATGTATGATGATAATTTGAAAAGATACATGCACCCCAATGTTCACTGCAGCACTATTTACAATAGCCAAGACATGGAAGCAACCTAAATGTCCATCAATGAATGGATAAACAATGGAATATTACTCAGCTATAAAAAAGAATGAAATAATGCCATCTGCAGCAACATGTATGGTCCTAGAGATTTATCAAACTGAGTCAAGTAAGCCAGACAGAGAAAGACGAGTATATATCACTTATTAGTGCAATCTAAAAAAAAAAAAAATTATACAAATTAACATATACAGAATAGAAACAGACCCACAGACATAGAAAACTAACTTATGGTTACCAAAGGGGAAAGCAGTGGAGAGGGATAAATTAGGAGTTTGGGATTAACAGACATACACTGCTATGTATAAAACAGATAACAAACAAGGACCTACTTTACAGCATGTGGAACTATACTCAGTATTTTCTAATAACCTATATGGGAAAAGAATCTGAAAAAGAATATAGATATGTATAACTGAATCACTTTGCTGCACACCTGAAACTAACACAACATTGTATATCAACTATACTTCAATTTTTTAAAAAATTTTAATGGAAATAAAAAACACCTAGTAATAAAAAATAGTGAAAGTCAGAAAAAAAATGTATGATGAAACTCTTAAAGGGAATTTAACCATTCTGTAAAAGGACTCCAGGTATGGCCTAATGATTTTGAAGTAACTCTCAGGGCCCCCGCCTGTATTACAGCCTCATTTCAGCTTTGCCCAAGAGAAAATGTAGCCCTTTTTAAAGAATTATATTTCAGAAGTAAGTGGCATGTTTTGATATATAGTAAAGCATCTTTCTAATAACTTAGCCTAATAACCCCACAAATGTTCTCCCAGATCAAATCTTAATGATTCTTAGACATTTGTTAGCTTGGGGATTGTCAATTATTGAGGTTTTCTATTTTATTCTCAACATTCCTGAGGACAGTTGATTTTGTTGTTAACACATTAATTACTTTTGTATAAGAGATTCTGCAAGCATGTCAATCTGCCAAATCAGAAATCAAGTATCTGACAAGCACAGTTTCTATACCTAGAATAAAAGACAAACTTTATTCAAAGACAGCATATCATCTTGAAATGTAAACATACTTAAAAATAGAACCAGAGACCAACTGTAAGCAGTGCTGAGGATGTCAGATTCCTGAGTTAATAACTAAGCTTGGTAAAGAGAGATGACTCAGGACTCTAATGG